TGACTCAAGTGGTAGAGCACTAGCCTTGAGTGAAAAACCTTGGCAAGGGGCTGGGAAGGTGGCTCAGTGGTAGAGCGCTTGCCTTGCATGCATGAGGCCCTGGGTTCGATTCCTCAGCACCACATAAGCAAAAAGAAAAAAGCCGGAAGTGGTGCTGTGGTTCAAGTGGTAGAGCGCTAGCCTTGAGCTGAAGAGCTGAGGGACAGCGCCCAGGCCCAGAGTTCAAGCCCCACAACCGGACCCAAAAAATGAAAAAAAAAAAACAAAAAAAAAAAAACCTAGGCAATACAGCCCTGGCCTGGATGGAGTTCAAGCCCCAGGACTGGCACACACATAAAAAGTCTCAAAAGTTTTTGTTTTGGGTACAGGGGATTGAACTCACCCTCAAACTTTTGCTTGGTTACAGTAAGACAGACACAGGCTTCTTACTGCCTGCAGCCATCTGCTTCTCTTGGTAATTCTGTACAGACTGTGAATGTTATAAATATGCAATGCACTTGGTAGAAGAAAAAATTCCCAACTTGTTTCAAAGCTTCCTGAGCTGAAGCTAGAGTCAGTTCTTATAAAACGTGTTAAGGGCCAGGCGCCAGTGGCTCACGCCTGTAATCCTAACTATTCAGGAAACTGAAATCTGAGGATCACAGTTCAAAGCCAGCCTGGGCAGGAAAAGTCTGTGAGAGTCTTATCTCCTATGAACCATTCAGAAAACTGTCAGTGGCCCTATGGTTCAAGTGGTAGAGCGCTAACTTTGAGCTGAAGAGCTGAGGGACAGCACTCAGGCCCAGAGTTCAAGCTCCACAACTGACCAAGAAAAGAAACAAATGTGGAAAGTGTAGCGTACCTGGGTGTCATTGGCTCAAGCCTATAATCCTACTTAGGAGGCTGAGATCTGAGGTTCAAAGGCTGGAAGCAAGCAGGAAAGTTTGTGAGACTTTTATCTCCAATTAGCAACCAAGTAGCAGGAAGTTGAACTGGGGTCAAATGGTAGAGTGCTAGCCTTGAGCAAAAAAAAGGTCAGGTATAGTACCCAGGCCTTACATCAAGCCCCAGGATGGGCACACACAGCACATACAAAATGGTGCCCTGTGACAATCTGATATATAGAGCTTAATTTAGAATAAGAGAATGTGAACATTTACATTACTCTTTTTATTTCTCATGGAGTAACCAGAGCTTAAAACTAGGATGGTGCTAACTAAATAATCTTCAAAAGCAGAGGAAAACTTAACAGTACACAGGCTTTAATATTACATAATAAGGGCTGGGAAGGTGGCTCAGTGGTAAAGTGCTTGCTTTGTATGCCTGAGGCCCTGGGTTCAATTCCTTAGCACCACAAAAGCAAAAAGAAAAAAGCTGGAAGTGGCGCTGTGGCTCAAGTGGTAGAGCACTAGCCTTGAGCTGAAGAGCTGAGGGACAGCGCCCAGGCCCAGAGTTCAGGCCCCTCGACCGGACCAAAAAAAAAAAAAAATTACATAATGAAACCCTCAACTTGGGACTAAGAGAAGTACCCAGCTCCAAACTGGAGTTGTCAGAACAATTTGGTGGTTCTGCTTTCCTGTGAGGCTAAGGGAGAGCAACAAAGCACAGGAAGGAGCAGAACACTCCATTAGAGAACTTAAAGGAAGAACCATTCTAAGACACTAGCTAGTCATCTTCCTGAGTAAAGGATATGAGCAAAGTATACTCCACTGTGCCTGACAAAGGCATAGCTCAGCTGACAACTCGTCACAGACTGCCAACTGCAGGCCTCAGGCCTTCTGAGTAGGGCATAGCAGAGAGCTCTTAAGACTCTGGGAGGGTGCTGCTACAATTCCCAGGACACCATGCACCTGACAGTGCCCCACACTCCCAGTATGTCTAGAGGCCAGACTGTGCTATTCCAGCAACGACCCACATTTCTGTCCTGTCCCAGTGACAGCCTCTCAACAAATGCAGCAGGGACAGGAGGGTACAATCTAGAACCCCCAGGATTTACATTTTGCTAGAAAAGCCTGTGGCCCTCCCTAGTCTATGTAAATATACAAACACTTCCAGTATATAATTGCCTTTCATCTTCTGAGTGCTGATCCTTGTCTTTTTTCCCCTCAAGGTTGGCTCTCTACTACTACTACAAAAAGATGTACTTACTGTTTTTCGCTGGACTTTTCTGCTTTGGCAGGCATCAAACTGCAACCCTCAGATCTCAGCCTCCTGAGTAGCTAGGATTCTTCTTTCTTTTGAGCCTACAATGCTAGAGTCTGAATTCAGAGCCTTGCACTTGCTAGGCAGGCCCTCTACCAAATGAATTATGTCCACATGCTTTTATTGTTTACATTATTTTTCAATAGGGATCCTTCTATTTGCTTCCTGCATAGCTGACATGTGCCACTGAGCCCAGCTTTCATTTCAACTCAAGGCTAGTGCTCTTCCACTGAAATACAACTCCACTTCCAGGTTTTGGTGGTTAACTGGAAATAGTCTCACAAACCTTCCTGCCCAGGATGGCTTTGAGCAGTAATCCTCAGATCTTGGCCTCCTGAGTTGCTGGGATTACAGAGATGAGCCACCAACAGCTCAATCTATCCAAGCTGGTCAAGCTGATCTCAGCTAAGATTACAAGTATAGGCCACAGAGCAGAGCTTTGTTATTTCTTTTTTCATATTAATCAGGCTTGGCCTTGAACCCCTGGATATATACAATCCTCAGTCTCCCTAGGTGCTAGAACTACAGTGTGCAGCACTACATTTGTCTTAGCTGGGTACTGGTGGCTCATGCCTGTAATCCTCAGGAGGGATTGCAGTAGTAAGTCAGCTCAGGTAGAAAGTGAGATTCTAATCTTCAATTAACCACCAAAAAGCCGGAAGTGGAGCCGTGGCACAAGTGGTAGAGCTTTAGCCTTGAGCACAAAAGTGTAGGGACAGCACCAAGGCCCTGAGATCAAATTCAAACTTTAAGACAGAGAAGGGAGGAAAAAAACTTAGATTATTAAAAATTACAAGTGTCAATGTGAAGGAGTCTTCCAAAGCTGATGAAGTAGCTAACTGGTAGAGTGCATGAATGGTAGAGCTTAGCAGTGTGAAGCCCTGGGTTCAATCCCAAGCATTGGGGGGAAAAAAGTAGTTTTTGCTAGCCAGATTTAATACTAAACATCTGTAATACTAGCAAATTTGGAAACAGAAGTGAGTTGGTGGCCAGCCTGGGCAATTAGTAAGGCTCATCCACAGAACACAAGTGCTAGAGGAGTAGCTTAAGTGATAGTGTTTTAGGCACAAGACTCTAAGTACAGTCCCCTGTGTGTATAAAGGGGGGTGGGGGGGAGGGAGAGGATATGTTGATTTTCTTTTTTTTTTTAGTTTTTTTTTTTTTTTTTGTCGGTCGTGGGGCTTGAACTCTGGGCCTGGGCGCTGTCCCTCAGCTCTTCAGCTCAAGGCAAGCGCTCTACCACTTGAGCTACAGCGTGACTTCCAGTTTTCTGGTGGTTTATTGGAGATAGGAGTCTCACGGTCTCTCCTGCCCGGGCTGGCTTTGAACAGCAATCCTCAGATCTCAGCCTCCTGAGTAGCTAGGATTACAGGCGTGAGCCACCAGCGCCCGGCGGATATGTTGATTTTCATGTTCAATTGCTTTGAATATATACTTAGGCTACATTTTAACAATTACAAAGCATCTTTTTTTTTTTTTTTTTTTTTGCCAGTCCTGGGGCTTATACTCAGGACCTGGGCAATATCCCTGAGCTCAAGACTAGCACTCTACCACTTAAGCCACAGCACCACTTCCAGTTTTTCCTGTATGTGGAATTCTGATAGGCAACCACTGTACCACTGGACCACTAAGCCCCATAACCAGCCTGAATCCATTGGTTTTTTTTAAAAAGTGGTGTGAAGGTTTTTGTAGTGCTAGGGATTGAGCCCACAGCCTCAAGTTCACACAGAACACACATTCATCTGGCATTGCATCCCTGGGGAATTTTAAAACAGTATGGGGTGATTATGAAATACCTTGGTCAAGAACCCAGGGTAGTGATTAGCTTAACTGTCACACACATTGGCACCATATTTATCAAACCAATTTTTTTTTTTTTTTTTGGTTGGTTGTGGGGCTTGAACTCTGGGCCTGGCGCTATCTTTGAGCTCTTCAGCTCAAGGCTAGTGCTCTACCACTTGAGCCACAGCACCACTTCCAGCTTTTCCATTTATGTGGTGCTGAGGAATCAAACCCAGGGCCTCATGCATGCAAGGTAAGCACTCTACCACTGAGCCACCTTCCTAGCCGATATCAAACCTATTTTAAAAATACCTTTCTTTTCACATGAGTCTGAGGTAGCAGATGGAGATTGTGATATCTTCTCCTGCAATGAAATTCTCTGAGATTGTTTCAGCCATGCTTTCTTTTAGTAAGTAGGGTTTTCTTTTTTTTGTCGGTTGTGGGGCTTGAACTCTGGGCTTGGGCGTTGTCCCTCAGCTCTTCAGCTCAAGGCTAGCACTCTACTACATGAGCTACAGCGCCACTTCCGGTTTCCTGGTGGTTTATTGGAGATAAGAGTCTCATGGACTTTCTTGCCCGGGCTGGCTTTGAACCAGGATCCTCAGATCTCAGCCTCCTACGTAGCCAGGATTACAGGCGTGAGCCACCGGCACTGGGCTGCAAGTAGGGTTTTCATCAGGCTTGAGCCAGAGATGTGTGTCAGTGAATGCAAACATTAAACTCTCTACAGGGAAAGGAGCAGGGTCATCCTGCAGTGTGTCTGCTAATCCCTGCCAAGCTCTGCTTAGTAAGGCATAGCTTTCCCTTCTGCCTGACCATGTCAAGGTGGTTTTCACTTTTTTTCTACAAGCACGCTCTCAGATGACCACTGCCATCAGTGAGGGATCCAGCCCAAAGCGATGTTGGCAGCATACCACACCTGCTGCATCCTCTTCACCCAGAAAGCCTCCCTGAAAGGTGGAGTCAAGAGCGACCACCCTCATAAACCACACCTGCCAGAAGACTACCCTGCGGTTCTTTAGGGGAGCCACGGATACAGTTCTTTGTCTTTCCTGAGAAGATCATTGTACATCTGGTCATATGTGGTTTTGAAATCATAGACATTGGGCTTGTCTGGTGCTGGTCCTGGGAGCTTCACGTGAGTTCCTGTGCCAAAGGATCGTACGCTGAATCCTCGCTTGCTGGAAGACACAAAAGAGACATCATCATCGTTGGAGAAATGGTAATAGACTGATAAAACCTCACTTTTTTGTCAATACTAAGTTTTGAACTCAGGGTCTTCCTAAGCAAGTGCTCTATCACTTGAGCCATCTCTTGTTCTTGATGCAAACGATTTTAGCAAGTTTCATTGTTCTATTTCCATGCATGCACATAAAGTACTTTGTTCAGGCTGGGCACTAGTGGTTTAAGCCCTGTAATCCTAGCTACTCAAGAGGCTGAGATCTAAGAATCACAGTTTGAAGCCAATGCTTATCTCCAATTAACCACCCCCTCCCTCAAAAACAAAAAACAAAAACAAAAACAAAAAACCAGAAGTGAACTCTGACTCAAGTAATGGAACACTACCCTTGAGTGAGAAATGCCAAAGGAAAATGCCCAAGTTCTGAGGTCAAGTCCCAGTACCAGCACTGAATAATTTTTTTTTTTTCCTGGTGGGTCATGGGGCTTGAACTCTGGGCCTGGGCGCTGTCCCTGAACTAAACTCAAGGTGAGCGCTCTACAACTTGAGCCACAGCACCACTTCCAGTTTCCTGGTGGCTAATTGGAGATAAGAGTCTCATGGACTTTCTTGCTGGTGCTGGCTTTAAACTGTGATCCTCAGATGACAGCTTCTTGAGTCATTAGGATTACAGGCATGAGCCTCCCACGCTGGCTTGAATAAATTATTAAATAATAAAGCACTTCAACCATATTCATCCTCATTTGTCTTCTCCATTGCTATGCTCCCTCTTGCTGGTACTGGCCCTCTATCACAGCCTGTCCTGTCATTCAATTCTTCAAGGATATATTAATTTTTTTTTAATTTTTTTTTGGGGGGGGTCCGGTCGTGGGGCCTGAACTCTGGGCCTGGGTGATGTCCCTCAGCTCTTCAGCTAGTACTCTACCACTTGAACCACAGCACCACTTCCGGCTTTTTTCTTTTTTTGCTTATGTGGTGCTGAGGAATTGAACCCAGGGCCTTATGCATGCAAGGCAAGCGCTCTACCACTGAGCCACCTTCCCAGCCCATTTTTTTTAAATTTTTTATTTGGACATGGGGCTTGACCTTGGCCTGGGCACTGGCTCTGAGCTCTTCAGCTCAAGGCGAGCACTCTACCACATGAGCCACAGCACCACTTCCAGTTTCCTGGTGGTTTATTGGAGATTAGAGTCTTACCGACTTCCTTGCCCAGGCTGGCTTTGAACCATGATCCTCAGATTTCAGCCTCCTGAGTAGCTAGGATTACAGAGGTGAGCCAACAGTGCCTGGTTAAGTCTTTATTTCTTATTTAAACTCAGGATATTTAGCAATCTCTGGAAACATTTTTTGTCTGTCACAACTTGAGAGGGGTGCTACTGAAAATAAGTTGCTTATCATCCTGATATGCAAAGTTTCCTCCATGCCTCATTCAAATATCAGGAAGAGCCAGTACAATAGTAATGTGACTAATAATCCCACAGAAGGGACAAAGGCATGAACATAAAGCTCAAACATGAGTTATGTGGGACTGGGAAGGTGGTCAGTGGTAGAGCGCTTGTCTTGCATGCATGAGGCCCTGGGTTTGATTCTTCAGCACCACATAATCAGAAAAAGCCAGAAGTGGCACTGTGGCTCCAGTGGTAGAGCACTAGCTGTGAGCTGAAGAGCTAAGGGACAGTGCCTAGGCCCAGAGTTCAGGCCCTACAACTGACAAGACAAAAAAAAAAAAAAAAAAGTTATGCAAATAAAGCAGTTCTATTTCACTAAAATGAGAAAAAGAACACACAAATACTGTTCCCTCACCTACCACATTTTCAAAACTCAACAAGTACATGGGTGGAGGAGATAAGACAGACTCGGATTAAAGGCTAGCTCAGACAAAACTTTGTGAAACCTCATCTCAACCAATAAAAAGCTGAGTGCAATGGCAGGCACCTAGCACCCCGGTGCTTAGGAAGCAAAAATGTAAGAATCACAGTTCAAGCTGTGCACCAGTGGCTCAGGCCTGTCATCCTAGCTACTCAGGAGGCCGAGATCTGAGAATTGAGGTTCAAAGCCAGCCCAGGCAGAAAAGTTTTGTGAGACTCTCATCTCCATCTAATTGCCAGAAAACTCGAAGTAGTGCTGTGGCTCAAGTAGTAATACTCTAGCCTTGATCTAAAGAGCTGAGGGACAGTGTCTAGCCAAACCAAATTCAAGCTCCATGACTAGGGGAAAACAAAAAAATTACAGTCTATGTCAGCTTGAGCAAAAAGATCCTAGTTGAAAAATTACAAAGGAAAAAGGACTTGGAGTATGGCTCAAATAGTAGAGTTCTTACCTGGTAAGTGCAAAGCTCTAAATTTAAACCCTCGTTGCTGCAAAAACAAAGCTGGGTGCCACTGGCTCATGCCTGTAATTCTAGCTACTCAGGAAGCTAAGATCTGAGGATTTCGATTCAAAGCCAGCCTGGGCAGTAAAGCTCATGAGACTTTTTTTTTTTTTTTGGGGGGGGGGGGAGGCTCCGGTCGTAGGGCCTGAACTCTGGGCCTGGGCACTGTCCCTCAGCTCTTCAGCTCAAGGCTAGCGCTCTACCACTTGAGCCACAGCGCCACTTCCGGCTTTTTTCTTTTTGCTTATGTGGTGCTGAGGAATCAAACCCAGGCCCTCATGCATGCAAAGTAATCGCTCTACCACTGAGCCACCTTCTCAACCCCTCATGATACGCTTATGTCCAATTAACCAACAAAAGGCCAGAAATGGAGCTGTGGTTTAAGTGGGAGAGCACTAGTCCTGAGCAAAAAAGGGACAGTGCCCAGGCCCTTAGTGCAAGTGTCAGGACTTGCTCTCGCTTGTATGTGCGTGTATGCGTGCGCGTGCATGCTTTCTCTCACACACAAAGCAAAAACAAAAAAACTCAAACCAAGAGTGGCATGCAAAACTGTCATCCTAGCACTCCCTATGCTAAGGAAAGATAATCACATGAGTTCTAGGCCAACCTGAGCCACTAAGTGAATCTTTGGAAGAATAAAGGTCAAAGGCCTGCTTTGGGCTCCTCCCTCTCCCTGCAGCATCACAGATGGTATACAACAAACAGGAACAAAACACATCTGGCAAGTGGTAAAGAAAGAGCTTTTTGTCAGGGGTAGGGTGATTAAGACTATTCATTGCTGGTAAACATGTGGTTGGTCAGTCTCTGTAGCCATTCAGAGTGCTGCAAAAGCCAACAAGTGAGCTGGAGTGGCTCACACCTGGAATCCTAGCTACTCTGGGGGGTTGAGATCTGAGGATCACAGTTCAAAGCCAGCCTGGGCAGAAAAGTCCATGAGACTCTTATCCCCAATTCATCACTAAAAAGTTGGAAGTGAATCTGCTCAAATGGTAAGAGTACTATATTGAACACAAAAGCACAGGGACAGTACTCAGGCCCCCGAGGAGTTCAATCCCCAGGATGTACACACAACCACACATACAGAGCCAATAACCCAAGTGTCTACAGCACATAAAATAAGCCTAACTAACCAGAGAGTGATGCAGGAGGATCCCAAGCTCAAAGCTAGCTAGGCAACTCAACAAGAATTTGTCTTAAAATAAGAAAAGGGGTAAGGATATAGCTCAGAGGTAGAACAATTGACTAACAGACCCTGGGTTCCAAAGCCTGTAACTGAAGTCATGAAGCAGCCAAGAGAAATCCCTCATGCTGCATGAACCTACTATGTCTGACACCTGCAAAGGACCAAAGTCAATAAAGCCGATCTCACTGCTATAAAACTGAGGTAGCTGAGGTGGCTGGTCTCCTGAGACTCCATTGAGACAGACAGACAGACAGACAGACACACAGACACACACACACACACACTACTGTTTTAAGTGAATCTTGTATGACCAAAATGTGAAAATGTGCATTACTGAGAAAATGAAGTGGTTATTACTAAATTACTGAAACAAACCCTGGTTCTGCAGAGGCAGCCTTTCTCATTTGGGTGTCCAGCTGTGCAAAATCCATGCCTACGTTAAGCCAAGCATTTGGTCAAGCACATGAAAGGGCTATGACCAAGGACATGTGTCCAGACCTACACACCGCTGGTCTGCTGTGAACCTGCCCTGGCCACTGGGAACCAGACCTGAGGGTGCCCAGAGTTTGGGTCAGGTCACTTGCCTGTCATACACTTCCAAGGCTAAGCCTCCATGAACAGGAAGCAGCCCACCAATGTAAATCATGGAGCTCCAGCACTGGCTGTACTGGGTACCTGGATTAAGGATGGAGAGGACAAGATAAAAATCTGCCTCATCAGCTGGGTGGTGGTTCACACCAGTAATCCTAGCTACTCAGGAGGCTGAGGATCACAATTCAAAACCAGCCTGAGCACGGAAAGCCCAGGAACTCTAATCTCCTTTAATAAACCCACCAGAAAACTGGAAGTGGTGCTGTGGCTCAAGTGGTAGAGTGCTTGCCTTGAGCTGAAGAGCTCAGGGACAGCGCCCAGGCCAAGTTCGAGCCCCATGTCCAAATAAAAATTTTTTTAAAAATGGGCTAGGAAGGTGGCTCAGTGGCAGAGCGCTTGCCTTGCATGCATGAGGCCCTGGGCTCAATTCCTCAGCACTACATAAGCAAAAAGAAAAAAGCCGGAAGTTGCGCTGTGGCTCAAAGTGGTAGAGCGCTAGCCTTGAGCTGAAGAGCTGAGGGGCAGCGCCCAGGCCCTGAGTTCAGGCCCCACGACCAGACCCCCCCAAAAAAAAACAAAAAACAAACCTGTCTCCTTCAAGCAAAGGAGGTTTTTTGGTTTTTGTTTTGCTGCCTTTAATAAATCTTTCTCTGCCCTAAAAAACAAAAACAAAAATTCCCTGTGGCTTAGCAAGATAGTAGTGCCTAAGTAAAATGAAAGAGGCATCTGAAGGGCTGGGAAGGTGGCTCAGTGGTAGAGCGCTTGCCTTGCATGCCTGAGGCCCTGGGTTCGATTCCTCAGCACCACATAAGCAAAAAGAAAAAAGCCGGAAGTGGCGCTGTGGCTCAAGTGGTAG